CGGCCAATCGTTATTTTCTCTGTTAAACTTCACCGAGAGGCCAACACCCCGCCACCCACCTCAGTGGCACAAAGGCCCCACGAGCCAAATCATAGATAGAGCCTCTCATAGCCACTTGGCAAGTAGTTAGGGCTTCACCTGTCACCAACCTAAACTAGTTAATACAATTTCGCCAGTAGGCACTAGCATAGTGAGCTGAGTCAATACCATTCCATATGGTAACATACTAACCTTACCCATCTAAATCACTTCCATAGCATGTCTAACGATTCTACACAAGGAGATGATCTGTCGGTGGCCAGCACCCCACTAAGATCAGGCTCACAGAGAAGAACCAGTCCACCAAGCCCGGCTTCCAACTATCGTTCCTGGACTATCCCTAAGATCACCTCTGAACTTAAAAAGAGGAATATTCCTTTCCCAGCGACAGCAAGGAAAGCCGAACTGTTTAGATTGTTAAATGTTACTGAGGACAACGAAAGGCCAGGCCCCAGTTCTGCTTTCAACGTACAAAATAGCCTGGCAGAATTACACAGCATGATGGCCTCCCTCGTTTCCTCAGTAGCAACTATTAACAATAGATTGGATAATCTGGAGTCAAACAGTATCACTACCATGCCAGAGATTCCAGTAACAGTTACTCAGCCTACCACTAGCTCAGGAGGTAAAGATAACCCTCCACCAGCTAGAGCTACTAATATCATTAACCCCATCCATCTTATTCCTCAGGCTCTAAGACGAGACATTACTGAGGGGAAAGACATAAATTTAGCATCACTACTGATTGCTTCTCAAGACGTGGTAGAAAACAGAGCCTATACATTCGAGGATCTGTCGGTAGTGATGAAGTCTAGAGACCCTAGACTAAATAGAAAGCTCAATATTCCCGAATTTGTCATCGCTTTCGGACTGTACAGAGATGTGATTTGTACAACCTTCCCTCTTCGCAGAGAGGAACTTGATTTATATCTGCATAAGGTGGTTGAGTTAGCGTACAAGTACGGCGGCTATGCATTTTACGACTATCATAAGTCTTTTTCTTCCAGATCCGCTGCGTCTCTCTCCCAGTATAATACGGTTACCGATTGGGCTCAGCTAGATACAGAATTATTTCTAATGCATTTTGCAGGCCTTAAAACCCCGTCCTGTGCTATATGCTCTTCTGCAGCTCATTCGGTAAACTTTTGTCCCGAAAACCTAGCATCCTCTTCTACCAGTAGCGCCAATACCGGATACCAATCAAACACGTCACAGAGGGAAGTGAGAGACAAACTTGGTAGGCCTATTGTTTTTCTAGGTAAAGCACAAGTCTGCAACAATTTTAATGCAGGAGGTTGCAGCTATAGTGCTTGTAGGCTGTTGCACGTTTGCTCTATGTGTTTTAGAGCACATGCCAAAACAATGTGCCCCAACAGACTGTACCCTAACAAATCATCCACAACAATAAACGTACCTAAGTTGCAACGCTACCTGTCTAATCATCCTTCTGTTCATTTGGTTGAATTTCTCACAAATGGTTTCACTAATGGGTTCCATACAGGGTTTGTGTCACTCCCTACAGGTGTCTTAGAATGCCCCAACTTACAGTCGGCAGTCACAGACCCAGACAGCATACGCGAACTATTACAGAAGGAACTCACAAATGGTTTTATGATAGGCCCTTTCACCACTCCTCCTTTCACTTCCTGGAGAACAAACCCACTAGGGATCGCCACAGCTAAATATAACAATAAAAAGCGACTGATTATCGACTTCTCGGCACCACACTCATCCTCCACACCCAGCCTAAATGCTCTGATCCCGTCGGCTGACTTTTCCTTACAATACGCCAAAATTGACGATGCCATCCAAGCAATCCTTCATACCGGGAAGGCCGCTTGGTTAAGCAAATCCGACATCACAAATGCATTTAAACTACTTCCCATCCACCAGTCACTCTGGCATCTGCATGGAGTTAAGTGGGAAGGAAGCTACTATTTTGCGACAAGACTCACCTTCGGATCCAAAAGTAGCCCTAAATTGTTCGATATATTTGCCGAAACTTTAAACTGGCTCCTACTCAACTCCTGCAGATGTCCAATAGTCATTCATTACCTAGACGACTTCCTCACTATCGAACCCCATCAGCACACACCACACAGCCTTAAGCACATGCTCACACTTTTCAAAGACTTAGGAGTCCCTGTGGCACAAGACAAAACTGAAGGTCCCAACTCTGTCATCACATTCCTGGGTATTACACTTAATTCAGTTTCTATGCAAGCCAGCCTGCCTCAAGAGAAAGTAGACCGGATACTGTCATACATAAACACTTGCACATCACAAGGCACCTGCACAAGGAAACAACTACAGTCACTACTTGGTTCACTAAATTTTGCTATGAGGATAATTCCTCAGGGAAGGTCGTTCATATCCAGAATCCTCTCACTACTACACGGCCTCCCCGACGACGACTCCACTACTTCCCTGAACGAGTCAGCTAGAGCTGATCTACAAATGTGGCAGCTGTTCCTATCCTCTTGGAATGGCAGGTCGCTATTTGTTCCACCAATTTCTGACGATTCCCCTGTAATCTGGACCGATGCTTCAGGAGCATTAGGGTATGCAGCAATTTTTGGGGATGAGTGGCTATATGACTCATGGCCAGTGGAGACCCTCTCACTCGACGGTTTCAATACCACCTCGGCTCTATTCGAGATTTATCCCATAGTGGCAGCCGCACACGTCTGGGGTAAAGAGTGGAGAGGACAGTCGGTTAGATGCTTTTCGGATAACATAGCTACCTGTGATATTGTAAACAAAGGTCGCTCTCAGTCCCTAACTATTATGAATTTAATAAGGAGACTGACTTGGCTAGCGGCTAACCTGCAATTCAGCATCAGATGTTTTCACGTTCCAGGTGTTCAAAATAATGCTGCTGATGCTCTCTCACGCTTGAATTTGCAGGCGTTTTTCAAGTTTCATCCATCAGCAAACCCTCAACCCAGGGGATCTCCAAGCTTCACAGAACTAATAATGCCTTAAGTTCTCTGTTAAAGCAAAGTAGATCTCTCACGCAAGCAGGCTTGTCCACTAACACTAGGAAAGCCTACTCTAGAGCTTACAATTTGTTTAAGAATTTTGTTCGTGATTATCATATAATAAATGCTTTTTCTGTTGAAACTATTGTTGCGTTTACAACTTTTTGCCATATTTCTCTTAAATTAGCTTACAACACTATCAAACTATACTTAACAGGCATTCAACACTACATGTTAACCAGCCATCCCAACAAATCTCCATTCCTATCCTCCTACCCAGTTAAAAGTGTCTTAAGAGGCGTTCACAGGTTATCTACACATGTCCCCATCAAGAGACTTCCCATAGACAGTGAACTATTTAAAAGTATTTCCGATATCCTCGACACCTCCCCTTTTGAACACGTCACAAACCTAATTATTAAATCAGCAGCTTACTTAGCTTTCTATGGGTTTTTGAGACCCAAAGAATTTTCAGTGGAAAAAACAACCGATTCTAAACTTTGCCTACAAAAGAGACACCTAATCAAGAAACAAGACCACTACATCTTATCTATTGCCCATACCAAGACAAGCCAAACAGGGCCTCCGGTAGAAATTAAATACTATCCTACCTATACCAAATGGTGTCCTATCCTAGTTTTAGATAAACTACTGATATCCCAAAGTTCTTCTCATCCGTGTTCTCCACTGCTAGCTATTCAAGGTAAACCCCTTACCACCAAACTGTTTATGTATTACATCCGTACATTATTGGTTCGGCTAGGACATAACCCAAACGCTTTCACAGGTCATTCCTTTCGCATTGGTGCCGCCTCAGCTGCCTCAGGTAACCAAGTACCTACACACATCATTAAAAACATGGGTAGATGGAAATCATCTGCTTACAATAGGTACATTCCTAACCCTGAAAAAGAAATACGTGTGGCTTTCCATGATATGTCTAAATAATGTTTGTATTTAATAAATAAGTTTATATGTATTTTGAGTATCGCTTCTAATTTATTTTGCCCTCTTTTACAGGCCTAAACCTCACGTCCGTTTCCGCACACCTCAACTGACTTGCTACTTCTCTTACAGCTTCTTTTACTATCATTACCTTACGTCCTCGTAATGTGCCGTACACAAATAGAAGGCTTGGCCTGGAATTGTGGGAGGTACATTTTAGCCCTATATAAACTACCAACAAACCCAGCTTACCGGTCATCGACGTTCCCGGAAGTGCCCCTCCCACCACACCCTCAATTCATTTACATTTATACTAGGTGGGCCCTCTTTTACAGGCCTAAACCTCACGTCAGTTTCCGCACACCTCAACTGACTTGCTACTTCTCTTACAGCTTCTTTTACTATCATTACCTTACGTCCTCGTAATGTGCCGTACACAAATATATATATATATATATATTTTTTTTTTTTTTTTTCAAAACTTTATGAAAGGGTTATTATATTAAAAATAGTTTTGAAGTGACAGTAAAAAAAAAAAAGCAGCTGGCTCCCGTCGATTTTGATGCGTGGACAAAATGTTTAACATTGACGTGTAGTGTACGGGGCCTTTATCTAAACAATAAAGATCTGTGTAAATATTCATAGGTAAAGCACTGTGCGATGTATATACTATTGTTTCCTTTTTTTATATGAATACTCGCAACTATTGTTGAGGTATTTTTAAGGCCACTATTGTCATTTTCTTAGAGTTGCAAACAGTGCCACCATTAAATAGAAAATATAGTGCCACCATTAGACATCTAAAATGAATTTTATAGCTTCAGTGACATTTGGATACAAGTATCTGCTTTTTTCAGCAAGTACATTTCTACCAATGATACATTTTTTTTTCTGATAGAAAATACTTTAATTTTAAGAGCAGCATAAGGAGGTGGTCACTTTTAAGTAATGAGGAAATAGGGCCAGTGTTAATTCAGTTAGCTAGAGGCTTAGAGGATTGCCAGAAAAATACAGATTAGTTGTTAGAAATGCGAGCAAAGGGGGGGCGGGGCCTGACCGCCGAGCTGGATGGACGTGGGGCACCTCAGCTCCTCCATGAAACCCACAATCCTAGCCTTAAAAATATTTCCTTTCCCCTGAAAAACCACCCAGCTGCAACTAGAAGGCAAAGGGGACCTGTGCACAACTCTCGGTGCACTTACCGGCCTCCGTCCTACCGGCGATGAAAACTGCTGGGCGGCTGGGATTGCGGCCTGTCGTGAGGCTCTGGCGGGAGATGCGGCCGGTCTCCCGTGCTTAGTCCGGCGGGACCTCCCACCCGCTCACAGAGCGCCCCGTTCTCCCCCCTGTGGGCCGGGGGGGTTATCCCGGACCCCACCGAGGAGGCAGTGACCACCCACGACTCCTGAGCGGCGAACCGAGCAGCCAGAGACCGCATGGTGAAAACCAAAATGGCCGCCGTGTCCATCACAAGCTGGAGAATAATGGCGGCAGCCGTGGAGCAACGAACCGAAAGACACCTACATGACGCCTCTAAGGAGCGCACAACCAGCCTGCTACCACAACTCATGCCGGCATTGTTGAAGGCAACACCTCACAGGGTAACCGGCAGGGACTCACGTGGGACTATAACCCTAAATAAGCGCAGAGGCGCAACAGACAAGAGACACAAGCTCCCTTATTATACCTGAGTATACTATGTCATACTGTCATGCCTAGAACTAGTGCAGTTGCGCCTAGCCGGTAGACCCACATGTACAACAACAAAATTATTAAGCATACCTGCTAACTCAGAGACTCGCTGCTCCCTGGTGGTCAAAAAGCTAAGTTTAAGCAATGAAGAAATCTAAATCATATATTACGTCTAGATATACTACGAAGCTACCTGTTAATCAAAGTATTATATAAAAATGTGCACGTTACTCAATAACCTCAAATGTTATGTTTGAAAAGTTGCTAGAGGACTGCCGTTGGGGTACCTCGAGCCAAAGTGTAACTGTCTTTATGCACTGCAAAAAAAAAAAAAAAAAAAAAGAAATGCGAGCAATAGTTTGTAGATTAGCTGAAAAGAAGAAAAAAAAATATCACAGGTTAGGACAGAATTGAAATTCTGTCCAATTTGGTTATTTTGGATTTAATTTCGCAAGCTGGTTGTCAACTCACCTTCATGCTAATGTTATCAATGTAATACATTTAAATGCACATGCCACCACCCTACCAAAAAAAACAAAAAAAAAACACAAGAAACTTTTTTGTAAAGCATGTCTGTAAATATATGTGGTATATTTCACCTTGACCTATTTTTTAACAGTTTAAAGGGACACTATAGTCACCAAAACAACTTTAGCTTAATAATGCAGTTTTTTGTGTATATATCATGCCTCTGAGGTTTCACTGCTCAATTCACTGCCATTTATGAGTTAAATCACTTTTGTTTCTTACCTACACCTCCCCTGGCTGTGACTGACAGAGCCTGCATAAAAAAATGGTTTGAGTTTCATTTAGATGTAACTTACTTTAAAAGTTTTTATCTCCTGCTTTGTATATTGAACTTTAATTACATACAGGAGGCTCCTGCAGGGTCCAGCAAGCTATTAACAGAGTAGGGCATAAGAAAGTCTGGATTAAACAGAAATTTGCAATAAAGGAAGTGTAAACATTAGATGACTCTTTACAGGAAGTGTTTAGGAAGTCTGTGCAAGTCACATGCAGGGAGGTGTGACTAGGGCTGCGTAACCAAAGTGATCTAACGTCTAAATAACAGAGAATTGAGCAGTGAGAAGGCATGGATACGATCCATAAACCAAAACTGCTTCATTAAGCTAAAGTTGTTTTGGTAAATATAGTGTCGCTTTAAGTACACTTGGAATTTTGTATACCAGCATTTATGTACTCTTAATTTAGAATAAACTGCAAACATACATTGGGAGAGGTTTGATTTAGCATATGTTATATCCTTTCCCACAGATGTTCTTCATTAACGTAGAAAAATCTATGACAAACATATGAAGTACCATGCAAGGTATGACAGAAATGAGACATACGGATTTTCTTACATTTCTTAAGACAACACAGTAATCTTCCTGGATCCCCTGGGGCAAAAACAAATTAAGTGAAAGGAATTTGGACAGTCTTATCTCCAGAGAATTCACATTTTATAATACTAGAACACACAAAAAAAAAAAAATGAGTTCAAATCAGATTTTATTGTTTTCGGGATAAGATGGGAAATTTTGTATATTGTAGAAATATCTACAAGAGTGTAGAATGTTTGGTCTTAGTAAAAAAAAAATATTCTCCTGCAGTTAAAAAGTGAATTATACAGCAGGCTTAACCGTGTATTACATGAGGCAGAGGAGGTTTTAGAAGAGCATTATTGAAAATTCCAAACCACTTAAAAAGGGATTTATCAACTAAACTAGGAATTGTGAAGAATTGAAAATTACAGATAAACAGATGATAGGGAAATTACAATCTTATATACAATCATTATTGACATGCTAATGGCAGCCCTCAATTTGTTAATAACAATGCAATGACTATCAACGCAAAAATTTTAATGTAATCACTTTTCCAATCCTTTTCAACACTGCTTTTACCATTAAGAAGGTCCCTTTACCTTATATTAAAGGGATCCTATAGTGCCAGGAAATCAACTCCATTTTTCTGACACTATAGGCTCCTGGAGTGCCCCCCTCCCTCGTGCTCCCCCTTCCCTCGGGACTGAAGGGGTTAAAACCCCTGCAGCCAATTACCTGTATCCAGCACCAATGTCCCTTGGCGCTGGGTCAGTCTTTGCCCACGCTCCTCCTCCTCGACATCAGCCGGCGGGTGAGACCTGATGTGCATGCGCGGCAATGGCTGCGCACGCATTAGACCTCCCCATAGGAAAGCATTATTCAATGCTTTTCTATGGAGAAAATCTGACACTAGAGGTCTGTGAGGACGTCAGATAACGTACCAAAAGTCTGTTTGGATTTCGAAAGCGCCCCCAGTGGCTGTCTGGTAGACAGCCACAGAGGGCAGATTTAGAACTGCAATGTAGACTTTGCAGTTCTCTGGAACTGCAATGTTTTACATTGCAGCACTAAGCGCAAAAGGGTTACAGCACCCAAACTACTTCAATTAGCTGAAGTGGTTTGGGTACCTACAGTGTCCCTTTAAGCACTTACATTTTCGTAATCACAATACTGCCAAAGAGGAGTTATTGATACTTTAATTGAACCATTGAAACCTTAGAATATTCAGTAGCTCGCTGGACTTGAGTAATCTTTTTGTAACAAATAACCAAAATAAAAATATTTGTTTTGAAAACATCACAAATACCTTCTCTTATGTGGTAACATATACATGCCATGTTAACTAACAATTCCTTGTTAATCAGTTTCCCCAATGAAAGGAAATTAAGCCAATTAACAATAAATGATAACAGAGCAAGTACACAAGTGCATAATATCCGAACCATACCGTAAAGCAACACACACTGCAATGTCTATATGGAACATATTAAGTTAATGAGATACTTACTAACTCTATTAGTATCTTCAGTGCTTTTGGTTGGCTGTAGCCTTCAACCTGTGATGTAAGTAAAACCCCTGGAAAGTGTCATTGTTTTTTTTTTTTGTCGACCTTGCATTGCCAGCCTGTTGAACACAACATTGGGATATTAACGGTAGAATCAAGTTTTTTAGGCTGGGTTTTAAGACAATAACAAATTCTGACTTTGGGGGTTTTACCAGCAAGAAAAATATTTGTGAAATTTGGGTTGTGATCGGTTCGATAACTGCTGGGCGATGGTGGACGAGAGTCAGAAAGCATTAATGATCAGGTTGGCTGTTACTGCATTGCAATGTAGGTCTGAATTGGAGAACTTTTCTAAAGGAATTATTAACTTTTTTTTCCAACCCTGAGACTCCCTCGATGCTGCTTTACTCTCCACCTCCTACTATCCTCCGTGATAGTCTTGTCCAATGCTCATCATACAGCTGCATTGCATGGTAAGCACATTCAAGCTTCCCCATAGGAAAGCATTGAATTCAATGCTTTCAAATGAGATTCAGTATCTATCCTGAGGACAATGAGGCGGGGTCAACCTCGGAGGTAAGTTATACCTCTTTAAACCTTGCAGGGGGCAATCGATCACCTAAACAGTGACCAGGACACTATAACATTCGGAATGCACATTTGTATTCCAAACGCTACATTTTGCCTTTAATTGTAACCCTGTCCTGGAGGGCTCCAAGCACCATAACAACTTTGAGATGTTGACTGAAGGATTCTTTTAAGGATGTTAAACTCCATCTTACTTATCTTACTTGTGGACAGATCCATGGATTAAATCAGTCTAAATACTGTTTAACAACCAATAAGGCTATAAAAGTATGTTGCCCAAGAATCAGAGATTTATTCCAGATTTACGTAAGCCACCAACATATCCATTAATAAATAATTAAAAAGCCTACATAAAACATGGAGACGCTATCTCATGTTCGCCTGCCTTCACCAGCCGATATGGGAGTGTTTCTTTTTATTGCCTCTAACCCCAGAGCGTCTTTCCTTACCTTCAAGCCTAGTGAGGGTTATATAATAAATTCAGAATTTTCAGGAATGCAAAGTAAATTTCAAATTCAAACCTTAGAGTAGCTAAACTGGAAAGTTAGCTGATGGAGAATTTTTCCAATGCAGTGATTTTGGCCTTAAAGGACCACTATAGGCACCCAGACCACTTCAGCTTAATGAAGTGGTCTGGGTGCCAGGTCCCTCTAGGATTAACCCTTTTTTCTATAAACATAGTTTCAGAGAAACTGCTATGTTTATGTTAGGGTTAATCCAGCCTCTAGTGGCTGTCTCATTGACAGCCGCTAGAGGCGCTTGTGTGCTTCTCACTGTGATTTTCACATTGAGAAGACGCCAGCGTACATAGGAAAGAATTGAGAATGCTTTCCTATGAGACTGGCTGAATGTGTGCGTGGCTCCTGCGGAGAGGAGGAGGAGAGGAGGCGGAGAGGAGGAGGAAAGCTCCCTGCCCGGCGCTGGAGAAAGAGGTAAGTTTAACCCCTTCCTCTCCATCCAGCCCGGCGGGAGGGGGACCCTGAGTGTGGGGGCACCCTCAAGGCACTATAGTGCCAGGAAAACGAGTATGTTTTCCTGGCACTATTGTGGTCCTTTAAGTTTAAAATTTTATTTGAAGTCCTGTTAGTTCTTATATTAATGAATAACCCTGTTTGAGTACTGTTAGATAGACAGCACCCCAAGACTATTTGCACAAACATTATAATAAGTAATAATTGTTACTTAATAAAATAATATAATGTTGTTCTGGCATTCAGAAATGTTTACAATGAGCTGAATGTTCTCATCCAACATTTTCTATTGTAAATCAGTATAAAGTGTACCTTTCCTTCTGATATGACATTAAATGGTAAGCAAACAAATAATGAATTCTATTCAAACCTTTGCACCAACATAGCATTCATTCTTCACTACCTTTGCAATGTCAAAG